TTTTCAAGGGTTTATGATTGTTTTTGAGGGAACTGTAAACGGAGAGACTCAAGTAAAGTGCAGTATCTTAGCCACCCTGCCTTAATTCATGAACAAAGGTTTCAGTTGGTCAGTTTAAACACATTGAAAGTACAAGGATATTCACAGGGATACATGTGTGTTATTGTCTGTAATCCTCTTGTCTACTTTCTTCCCTCCCAGTTGTCTCATCCTTTCTTTCATTTACCTGTCGGTGTAGCATGCTGAATTGTCTCTGCATGCTGTTTTTCTGTATATCAGCTTGCTGCAAACATAACTCATGGTAAAACCTTTTGAGTCACCTTTTTCCCTTTTCCTCCTATCAGTGAGCATGCCCTCTGCTGCCATCATGTGGCAGCGAGAGGTAATAGTCTGGAGCTGATTTACGAATGTTGGTTCAGGCATCCCTCATGTTCAATTTTGCTTGTGTATTTGCTGCCATGATCTGTGTCATGCAAATGTTAATGTCAGAATGTTGATAATAGGTAGCTGTGTTACTAGAGGTTGTCTATGTGTTGCTTTTACTCTTGTTTGTTATTTTTTGGGTTAATGCTCTCTAAAACTATTGATGTCAGTGCTGTATGTACGGATATAAATGACAAATTGAGATATATATATATATATATATATATATATATATATATATATAGTAACAAAGGTAGAAATGGTTTGTGGGGTATAGAAGGGAGACTTGAATAGGCGACGTCACAATCAAAGTCAACAAGTATGTTGAGCTGATTTGTCCATCATGTCCTGTATCGGAAGATTGTAGCCCATAATGGATGAACCACTTTTTCCACATTTCTGATAGCATTTCCCAAGTCCTCTTGGTCCAAAGCCTATCTTGTCTGCTAACATAGAAATCTACTGACTCTGGAAGTCTTGAATGTGACATTCTGAAGCATTTTTATATGTTTGTACAGTTTATTTTCATACACATCACCATCTGCCAACTTGTATAGATTTGATAACAGGCATTCAGTATTTTTCTACTGGGGCACAGATGATTTATTACATTAATGGGAAATTTTTAGGTTACAGACTTTTAGTTTTAAGCCCAAAACTTCCATAAAAGCCACCTCGGGTCAAACCTTCATGTTTTTTGTGGTGGTCACTGTATTGTTGCCATACTTCTAAACATTGTGCACCAGCCCTACTACAGTAATACTGTAAAGTTTATTTATTTTTTGGTATTTGAGTGCTCTAATTTTCACCCTTATGTCATTCTTGTGTTGTCAAGTGTGCATATTTTCTTCACTAGTTTTGTATCTCAGAGAGAAGACTATATTTTAACTGTTAGAGTGCGTGTTGATGTTTGTAACCAAAGTGAGAGTAAAATTACATGGTTAGTTACCTATAGTCATACACACTGCACTTTGTTTTACAGCAGATCAGTTTTACCCTACAGAAAACATCTATTGTTTCTCAAGTGGAGGTAATAGTTCACACTCCCTCACAACTTATTTTTCTAAGAAGATTGTAGTGGGCGAGGATTTAAAAGAAGTGACCAAACGACCTGACTAGGAAAGAACTGTCTGTAGGTGCCGGCCTCTGTCTCAGTGGGTTTATCACACCAGCCTTTGTATTGCAGATCAGAATGTCAAACTGCTTTTTCTACGTCCATCAGCACAACAGCAGGTGCTCATCCGGTCACTCCTGAGCTTGGCAAAGGTCTGAAACATCAACTGCTCTGCTCCAAGAGCGCACTTCATATCATAGTACCTTTAGTAGGCACTGTTTGTATTATGAAACAGTTTTTGAAAAAGTATTTGTTTGGGTTTTTTCTTGTTTTTGGATAAAGATTTCAAAACTTCACGTTGACTTTTTGCCAGCCTGTCTGTAGCAAATGAGGACAAAGCACTGTCATTCTGCTTGTAATAAAGAATGAAAGAAAAACAAGATCTAGATTGAGTATTTTTATTCTTTTAAATGCTGGCCTGCACTTTAATTACTGCTGAGCGGGAGTCCTACACATTTACATTGTCTTACTGTACGTCTACTGTACCCTTAAGGATCACGCATGCACAACAGCGTTTCTAACAAGAATGTTAAAGCCTTGCTTCTTTTATTCTCAATTTATTTTGGGGTTATTTTATTCCCAAAAAAATAAACTAACAGATAATCATGATTTAGGTTGATTTATTGCTTATTTTCACTATATGCCAGTAGTGTAAATAAACAGGATGGACATAAAAATGTCATCCACAATAAATGGCTGAAAATGCTAGGAAATGCTAATCTAAAGAGTGCAGGGGTCAGGTAAACAGAATCCTCCCTTGACATCTTTTATGTATTTACTTCTTATGAGTCAAGTTTCACTTTTACAGAAACTGCTGATCTGGGCTACTTTATAGTTAACATTAAACAAAAGAATGGAAAATAGTAAAGGGATGGAAAGAATAAAAATACTAGATGTTAACATAAAAAGCCAAAACTACAGTCATGAAAAAATAAAGATGCACCTGTAACTAACTATATATATATATATATATATATATATATATATATATATATATATATATATATATATATATATATATATATTTACACACACACACATAGTTGTTGTTTTTTCAATTAGGTTGTTGAAAACCACCCTTGAGTGCAATGGCAAGACACTTGCACAAATGTGGCATATACAGAAGCATATCCCCAGTGCTGTTCGGCATAGGCCTGAACCACCTCAGCCAAATAACCAAAAAGACGGGCTATGGATACCGACTCAGGAACGAGGTCACCATGAGTCATCTCCTCCACATGGATCAAGCTGTGCGCTAAGAATGAGTGAGACATCAACTCACTGATCCATGCCAACTGGATCTACAGCACAGACATCGGGATGTCAGACTAGAGAAGTGTGGTCGGATGTTGACTACAAGAGGGAAGGTAGTCCACACAGAAGGGGTCTCACTCCCTGAAGGAACAATAGCAGACATTGAGGACAGCTACAAGTACCTTGGAATCCCACAATCAAATGGTGACAAGGAAAAGCGGCTACAGTCAAATCCCACCGACGAGAAAGGCAGGTCCTAAGAAGTCAGCTGAATGGCAAGAATACAGTAAGTCTCGGGCAATAAATAGTTACGCTCTACTCGTAATAAGATACCCTGGAGAAATAATAAGCTGGCCAAAAGATGAGATAAAGGCCATAGATGTTAAGAGATGAAAGCTCCTAAACATGCACGGAGGGTACAACCCGAAGCACCCTGAGACTGTACGCTAGCTGAAAGGATGAGGCTGAGGACATGAGGGCCACTATCCAGGATGAAACATCCAAGATCCATAAGTACATCAAGAACAAGGCTCCAACAGACGACATGCTCAGTAAATGTCTCGGACAATGGGAACAGAAGATGAGGTGCTAGAGGTTCCATCATGGGAGGATAAGACCCTACACGGGATGTACCACCAAAACATAACTGAAGTGACAAATATCAGGAAATCCTACCAATGGCTAGACAAAGTCGGAATGAAGGACAGCACAGAGGCACTCATCACGTCTGCACAGGAGCAGGCCTTAAACACCAGAGCAATAGAGACCTAGATCTAAAACACCAGACAAGACCCCAGGTGCAGACGGTGCAAAGAGGCCCCTGAGACAATCCAGCACATAACTGCAGGGTATAAGATGCTGGCAGGGAAAGCTTACATGGAGCGCCATAACCAAGTGGCTGGAATAATATACAGGAACATCTGTGCAGAGTATGGGCTGGAAACCCCTAGGTCAAAGTGGGAAACACTTTCAAAGATGGTAGAGAATGACCAAGCCAAGATCCTGTGGCGCTTCCAGATACAGACACACCGAATAGTAATGGCAAACCAACCAGACATTCTGGTGATGGACAAAAAACAGAGGAAAGCCATTGTGGTTGACATAGTCATACCAAGTGACTGTAACATCAGGAAAAAGGAACACGAGAAGCTAGAGAAATACCTGGGGCTCAGAGAACAGCTGGAGAAAACCTGGAAGGTCATCAGTGGTATCCATGGTCATTGGACATCTCGGCCCAGAAAAACGCAGTTCTAGGAACAGCAAAGATACTGCGCAGGACCCTCAAGCTCCCAGGCCTCTGTTAGAGTACCCAAGCTTGGAGGAAGAAAGGGGAGACCGCCCGGGGTGGGTGAGGAAGAGTTTTTTTATAATATATATATATATATAAGGTTTCATCATAGCACATCTCCCATGGAAGTTAAATGTTGCAGCCTTCTGACTATGGAGGCATGCATCTGATTGATAGAAAGGGTTGGAGGTCCTTCAATCATGTTTTTAGGGTTTTTGGAGACATCTGTTTTCATCTACCAGGTATTTTTTTTGCATGTAAAGATGTTGGCACACTACTTTTTTGTGTTTGTTTGTTTAATGGAATAGCTGATTTTCAGACTTAAAGTGCATAACTTCCAACTAAAGGCCTGGAGGGGGAGATTTAAGGTCTTACCCTTGGTAATACAGTAATAAGAATAAAGTAGAGTGCTCCTGCAATTTGAAAATTGCAATTATTTTACAAATGCAATTAATTGTACTGCTCTAGTAGTAATATACTATGACTTGATAAATGATTGCGGTAGTTCAAAACAACCAATATTGGTAGAAATTGAGTGATCGTGTAACAACTATTAAAAAAAAATACCTACCCATCCAAACTGCTTTGTAAGTATGGCAGGATTTAATCGTACCTATCAGGGTTCCTACGTTTGGCATACAGATTAATGAAAATGTATAAACATTTGTTCCGATTTAACCTACTTTTTAGAGACACTTCTGTAAATGATTTCCATTAATAGTGGCTTTATAATCCCAGATTGTTTTAATGAGAATAGCATTTCTGATCAACTGGTGACAATCAAGCACCAGAGTGGTCTCTAACATTACTGTGGTTTTTGGATCAGATGTTATATTTTTCTCACTCACTGGGTGTCACTATTGCATTAGCTCTTTGTAAAAACCTGCAGTGCTTGTCATCACTTCCCCTCCCCCTAACTGTCTACTGGGGGTCTGCACAGGTTTGCATCATCATGCCTGCTGAGGCTGAAACATGCATGTGTGAATGAGGCCGTCTCCTGCAACCATTCCTCCCCGTCTTCGCTGCTGCCATCCTCTGCCTTACATCCCCCTGTGGATGACTCCTCGTCGTTCCCAGGGCTGTCACTGCAGCTTCAGCATCCATCCTCCCTCCATTTTAGCAGCATCTTCTCAGCATTCATCTTTCACAAGCATCCGGGCTACACCAGGCTTGTTCATACAGCATTTAATTTAACTATCAGAATTTGCAAATAAAAAAGACAGTAAGCAAGCTGCAATATCTTTTAATGACTCTACCCTGCTGGAACCACCTCCTCCATTCGGCTTGCCTGGGCTCGTCATTGAAGACAGTCGACTTCCCATCATCTTCATCATCATCTTATCTACAAAGCTGCCAAGCTGTCTCTTCTTCCTAGGAAGGTGTATTTTGGCTGGACAGCTGGTTTACCACTGTCCCTCTGGAAGATGCTCCTGTGGATGAAGACTGAGGAAATGGCTATTGGGGAGCTGCTGGAGAGACTAAGGAGCGTCACCCAAACCATAGGTGGGTAAAAGCGACAATCAAAGCCAGCTATTTGCTATTTTTTCTGAAGATATATATTCCATTATCTGTTTGCAGGCACTTGAATATATTGCTGTTTCTAATGTTGCTCTCTCAAAATGGGTGTTTTCCAAACACTTTCGTTTCTCTCTTTTAAATCAATTTTGTTCTGTTTTAGAAACAAGATTTAAATCACCATATTTGATCCAGTAACAGTGATTTGTCAAGAGTGGCTATTATTCGTGTTACATTTTGACTTCACATTATTTCACTGAAATGATTCCGGACTTCTGTTGAAAAACATTACAATTTTAAATATCTGTTCATTGACCTTAAATGCATAGAAATCCAGGCTGCAAAAACGGTTGAGGAAGATGATGAACTGTGAGCCGCATGCGACTCACTGACCTCTGTTACCCCGCCATGATTATTTCATTGGATTCTTCCCAAAAATTATGTTTTGTAGATTTTTCTGTTAGTTTGATACAGCTTCATATTCCATCCATCCATGTTTTGCACACTTTGATGTTCCAGGTCACATACTTAAAGCCAGTAATCCACCAAAAAAGCCACACTTTTTTTATTATTAAAAAGAAAATAATCAAAAGATTTTTGCCAACATAGTATCTCCATAACTATTTAGAAATCTGTGTGACCTTTTGACATATCCAGCCTCACTGCATATGTTTCTTCTCCCCACAACTATGGTCAATAACACGATTTTTGAATTCTGTCTCCAATTTGCTCTGATCCATTTATAGAAATGTGCCTTAATCTACCCAGCAGGAGCACATCATCCTGTCTCACTAACACAAATGCGCTTAAACACAAACAGTTTTAGCTCAATTTATTTGCTTGACTTTAACAACCAGGCAGTTCATGCACTATTAAGGTAAGGAAAATCTTTCAGCTATTTGCTACATTTATAAATAAAGCATTAGAAGCTCTTGGCTAGTTTCATGCCTTCCTTCCTAATATGAGAAATGGTTGAAAGCTTGACAGTAGTGAGTGGGTGGACTTGAGAAAGGAGGAAAAATATAGCAATTTATGTCCAGGGTAAAAGGAATGCAAAATGCAAAAACCTCTTGCTCTACAGTAAAAAGAAATGAAATCTATTATTTTTCCATTATTGCAGATTTAATCATGGCATCAAATCAACATGAGTCATTAACAGTTACTAAAGAATATGTGACAAGAATGTTGTGCAGCAGGAGGATGTGAGCAGTAATCAGCTTAGACAGGAGAGCTTGACTCTGACTGCAGAAGACAGAGGAAGAGAGAGTGATGAAGAGATTCATAGATAACGGTGTCAGATGGACGGTTTTGCATCCTCTAAAATATAAGATTGGAGAAGCAATTTATTGAGGCAAGCAGACAACCATATTAAATGTATGTGATTTCCCATAGAAACTATACCGAGCAAGCAGTGGTCTGTTTCTGTTTATGGTTTCTGGCGGTGTGTTTTGTTAGATGAGCATGTAATCAATAACTGTAAACTCAAACAAAGAAGGCAATTATATTTCTTCCTGTCCTGCTATAGACTGTGATTTCATTTTCTCTCTGAAATAGTAGCTGGCTAGAAATCACAAGTCAGACACACCCAGTTATTATTTAATCCATTTTATCTTAAAAGCTGAGGGCGGGCTTTATGTTTTAATCAAAATCTAGGTCATAACTAAAACTATATATTTTAGGGATTTAAATGAGTTATTTCCTGCACATTAGAAGTTAATGCAATAAAAGGGAACAGCAATGCACCTTATTGGATATGTTTTTGTTATGTTATTGTGTTTATAGGTCTCATGCATACATATTTGAAAAAAAAAATGTTTGTTTCCTCTACTGCACATTTTTGAGTAAAGAGGGAACATACCTGTGAAGATTCTCAGTAATCCAGGTCAAGACTGCTTCCAAAAAGTCACACCTTAAGCAGACTTAGATAAAACATCTACCCACCAATGTTATATAAGAGCCTCCCAATTGAAAAAGAATGGCTGATTAGATACCAAAGGTATTAAATGAGAAGATTCTCTTATTTTCGATTTAACAGCTAATGACTGGTTGGTTTTCCTTTTTCCTTTGTTGCAAATTTGCCCTTACTGTGTATACTATTCTTATTTTTTTCTTATATCTTTTTTACTCTTTTATTTTTACTCCATTTACATTTCATGTTGCTGCTGTGACACCAATAAGGGAACAGTAAAGGTCATTTCTGTTCTAGACCTAATGTTGATGAGTGTTTTTTTTTTTCTTTTACCGCTGGTGGCATCTGAGGAAACATCAGAACTTATACAAAATGTCAGCCAAATTTTGTCCTAACAAACTCCTAACAAAATGTTCAAATGGCATGTAACTTTTTTTAACCTCAGACCAATTATTCTGCCTAGTAACTGCTGACTACACATACTGTACATTAATCAGAACTCTGGGGCTGATCTCTTGTCTCTATAAAGCTTTGACATGCCTACATATTTTTTTTTTATTCCTTTTTGAAAACTAAAATATAAGAGAGAAAAGCATCATCAAAATATCTGTTTTAGCCTTCCTCCTGCTGTGAGCATTATTTCATATTAGAAGCAGTCCTGCCACTGAGTGAGAGGAACATCAATATATAACAGCGTATCACTCATTTAAAGGAAAATGGTAGATAGGAAATTACAAGTCTGCTTTTTCAGCTTTTAAATGTACAATTATAAATTAAAAGAAAAAGCCAAAAAACTCTATATGTGAAGCATTTAGGATAGCAGATATTTTTTATGATTTCCAGATTCAGCATTTCCCATCCAACAAGAGGATGAAAGCTCAAAATTAGAAACCAAGTATCAAAACTTTCAGAAAATATTCATTTTCATTTATTTAGCTTTCTTTTATGTTTCACCTGACTTCATGTAAAACACCTTACAAATATTTAATATCTTAATTTAAGTCTTCATCCTTTAGTAACAACTTCTACACTTAAGTGTTGTTACACCACCTGATAGTGCTGATGCTGTGTTCAAAGTCAGAAATAAGACCAGATTTTTGAGTTTCCAGCCTATTAGTCCCTCAGAAAAGTAAATAAAGTTGAAAAATGTCTGAATCCAGTAACCATCCGAATTCTCTGCATGTCTAGTTTTACACTCTAGCTGACCATTACTCTAACAAGAGGGATGATGCCTACAGTGGGCTGGAGAAATATCACTGTAATTATTTTTCACAGAAAGCTTTCCCATGATTCTATAAGTGGAGAGTTAATCTGCATTTCGTGTATTTAAAAGGACACATTAAGTTGCATTTGTCATAGTAAAAACCTCCTGCAGGAATTTGTTCATTTTAGCTTCTTTGGGTGGTTTGATGCATAAAGTTTTGATTAACATATGTTATATGAGCTTGCTCTATTCGGCTTATTTTTGTGCATAGAAGTGGTTTGCTTATGCTTATAGATTGGGGAAGTGGGGAGGGGGGATTGTAAATGGGATTTAAAAAGTGTTTCATACAGCCCAGGTGTCTCTGCGTTTAAAAGGAGCGGTTTGATCGGAAGTGCTGGTTTTGATTTTATTTTATTTTTTAGATTCTCCTCTGTCTGAACATAAAGGTCAATGTGGAAGTTTATCAATGTTGGGATGTTTTTAGGTAAATAATGTGAAGTTCTGTTTCCCTCTTCGGTTAGAAGTCACCTGAGCTGTGTGTTCATCCATTAAGGCAGAGCAGGTGTAGAGCCAGATGGATCCAGCACGCTGCTTTAGTTCCCAGCTTATCAGTCAGGGCCTAAAAGATAACAGTTGTTGTGGCATGTGTGATATCAAATCATTTATTCTACATTTAATAGAATATATATTGGAAGCTTTAGAAATTAATATTGATTTGCAAAAAAAACAAAACTATGTGTCTGTTGTAAATTAGGTTTGATTTAAATGTTTACAAAAAGCAATTTGCACACAAAACCTAAAATGAATTCAAATTTTGGAAACGGTGGAAGACGATCTCTGGCCAAAAAGTGTCCCTATTTACACTTTCATAAGGGTGGCAACAGTAGTTGTAAATAACTGCACTTAAGTAGGGCATGACTAAAAAGTTGTCTGAGCAGAGATAACAACAGAGCTCACTAGGGATATGACTGACATGATGTCACAAACCAGGGTTAGGAGTTGAGTGTAAACCAGAACAGATACTATTCAGTTAAACATGCCTGTGTCAGGACCATAACTTTGGGTCATGACAGAAAATTCAGCAGTTTTTATTATATTAATTAGCTTAAATTGATTACCAGCACCAAAATATTAGCTCCAGCCATCGTGTTAATATAATAACTACTTTAAACAGTATATTTAAAGTATGTCTTTCTTTCTATACATGAGGCTGTCATTAAAATGTAAAGATGCAGGCATTTATATTGGGGGAAAGAGTTATGAGCTTCTTTATTGTCTGACATCAATGGTCCAATATCTTTTTTATGGGGATTAGTTTATATTTGTGAACAGGGGGAAACATCTACTTTAACAGGAGATGTCAAGAAAACATGAAAAATTGGCAATAGATGATACGGGGCACAGAAGATGGTAAAATTCACTTGCATATCTGTTTAAACAGTGCTGATGTGCGCCGTTGCCTCATCAGTATGTGAGAGGGCAGCTACTCTCCCATCTTTTCTCTCAGCCTGTAAACAGTGAGGGGTCTTTTACTTGCCAGCTTTAACTTCCCAGCAGAGCCAAACACTCACACAAAAACACCCTAAAACCTAACAGACACAGAAAGGGTCCTTTTCTCAAATCAAAAACCCCTGTCATTGCTCGTTGACTGTGTGCCCATAGACAACATATCAACAAAAAGATTTGTTCCTACACTATAAAGCTTTTAGATTGTTTGATGGAAGTTCATTATTTTGTAGATGATAGGTTTCAGCAGTTACAGTTCTTTAGATGATCCCGTTGTTCACCAGGCATTGGATGTGTGAAAGCGTTTACAGATTTAAAGGCAGATTAGTCGAGGAGTGGAGGAGTATAATTAGCCTGAGAAGCAGAAGG